TAGTAGTAGTAGTAGTAGTAGAGAGAGAGAGAGAGAGAGAGAGAGAGTGTGTGTGTGTGCTTGTGTGTGTGTGTGTGTGTGTATGTCACAATTTAGGTACATCAGATAAGTATACCTTACAATTCCGATAGACTTATCGATGGCATACGTCCCCGACTTCGGATATCACGTCGATGTCTATTTGATAACACAAAAACGATACAAAACCACAAGAACTTCCAAGGCATATCAACGACTATATAATCAGATATACACACCGATGATGGTCGGCATATTGGTAGACGGGACGGGAGTGCTAGACCGCGATACCATTGGCGATGACTTGTAGATGACAGCGGCCGCTAGTGCTACTGCTGATGGCAGAGAGGATGGGAGTGCAGAGGGTAACGTCTGGGAGGCAAGTATGGGAAAGTAGGGACAGTGTGAGCACGGGCGTAATTTGAAACTGCCTTGTACAAGCAATGCATGGAAATGTTGAGAATGAAATATACATGTTGAGCAGGGGCTTGTGTATCAAAGTACTGCTGCTGATGGTAAAAAGGATGAGAGAAGAACGCATCAGATAGACACAGGTAGCGCATAGATAATCGGTGCATGATACATATATATGATTGTATGTACCTCTGAATACCCCTATACAAGTGCTACAATCCGATATCATTCTAACTGTGACATATCATAGTAGTCCCCTATAGATATAAATGTATATGTACATTGCTATTTTACAGTGGTTTGAATTACGATATATATCGAACAAAGTCCTATCTTCGTTGAGATATATTACTTGTTATACCAACAAGTTCTCTCAGGCCACGTTCAAAATCCATTTCAGTGAAAACATTAAGAAAACTAAAAAACATACACCGTTAAAACAAGCTTCGCCTTACACTGTCTCTGGACACATACACATTCGTTGCCGGCGCATGTGTCTGTGACACCTGTTGTGCAGTTTGTTGCAACAGCTGCTGCTGCTGGAGTAGGAGAAGCGCTCGCGTGGCCTCTGCTGCGTAATACTCTTGCAACACATATGACCCTGTGATCAGCCGTGAGTAGTCCCATCGCCGAATGAAGGTCTTGATGCTTGTCGTCTGTCATTATACATGTAGTCAATGGTGAGGTCTGAAAGGTTTTATGGAACTGTGTGTATATTCGCCTATGTCCGGCTTAGTTGTAATGCTCAAGTGGATGCGTGGCACCAGCTTCTTTAGCCAACCCCTCGAAATCAGATAGATGCCTCCCATCGTCGTACGACACTGGTCGGCACGAATTGATAGTAGGTATAACATGGCTGTGCCCGTTGTGTGTGAAGGTTACTGATAACATCGATCAATGAGATACAGCTTCGAATTGGAAATCTCAGACACTTCTGGACACTTATGCGGATCAGATCTACTGGACAAGCAATACTCGTGGAAATACTATATGCACAATTTCGCGCTCTAAATTGCAACTCTGAAGAGATAATCATGGATGCACGCATCAAGCATTACACAGGATCACAAGCACGCACACTCTCGTTTGCAGACCCTTACGCGGAATACTAGCCCGAGCAATCAAACTGTGCCGTAATATGCACTAAACAAACATAGTGCTGTAGACAGTCACATACAGAAATAGATCGCAATGTGACAACTGGGATTGTATTGCGATTGACCTATGGTACAACGCACCATCATCGCATAGACTAGGCTAGGACGTTCACCAACTTCAACGTGTCTCGACCGCACATATGCTTAGATATACGTACCAGGTATCGCGCTCCGTAGTCTTTGACAGCCATGGGTTTGGGGTTGGCAGTGAGCAGCGATGGCTCCTTCGGTTTGCTGACAGTTTGTTTGTCCGCCGTCTCTTTGCTTTTATTTGTTTCGCCAGCGCTAGCTTTCCGATTTGTGCCTGCACCAGCAATACCGAACGGTTGCTGAGTGAACTGTTCTTGACGGAGTGGCAACAGAGTCTCTACACATTCAATTGTACTAGCTGTGTTCGTATGGTGTCTGGGTGTTATTAATCGATGCCTGTTAATTCATGTACTCGCAGGGCTGATTTAGCTATGGATATTCTCACATGGACGCCAGGATCATATGCGCGGATGCATTGAAGCTTGGTCATGGCATACATACCTAGACGCGTGGATACTTGAGCGCATATGTATTTAGACACTGAATATGCAAATGTAACGGACGCTGTGAGCGGAGAATACAGCAACACTTGTATGCAACATTGTGACTGTGGAAATGGTATTACCGCTTTAACCCCACCATCATGCACAAACACAGCGGAGCATACCATTGCTCACAGGCTTGCCCGTAAATTGGATAGAAGGAGATCAAACTCCTTCGTTCGCCCCGTCACTGCTCGTTTGGTAGTCAGTGTGTGTGACTGGCCAGAGGAAGAATGAGATTAGTTCATGCCATTTTTAAGACAATATGGCAGATGGCCAATTTGGTAGGTACATCGATTGTGTGTTCAAACTAGTGCGGTCGTCAGGATTTTTCATTGGCGGTACCTTCAAAGGACTTCACATGTATTGAAACCCTTTCCTTAATCATCACACAGCCGGCAAGAACATGGTTGCACTACCACGTTAACCGATTTAGCCATATTGTAGCAAACACATTCGTGCACAAGTCCGTGTACCACGTACTTGGCAGTCAGAAAGTATGCTGGGCCAGAGTAAAATGAACTTAGCCCATGCAAATCAAATAATCCGATGCATGCGAGGTGTATGTTGAGCTACACGCACCAAGGATTGTGTTCTTACCATTGCGGTCAGCAGAGTGTATAACTGGTTGTAGCTACATACATTACGCCCGTAAAATATTCTTATATTCGCTCATTCACCACGCGTTCGACAGGAAAATACTAAGCCACAATATGTTTCCATTGTAGACGCAAAAATAAGAAAATATACGCTGCGAACACGCAAGTCAGAACAGGAGCCTGCACATTTCGCATGGACGCCTCGAGCGTATCAGAACTAGCAAAAGTTAAACTGGCCAGGCCTCGTTGAGATGCAAATAGAGAAGCTCCTGACTATTTATCCTACACCACATCTGTAGTAGACGTGGCAACGAAATAGTGCCACCCGCAGACTTACTTTGCATGACAGTGATCGCCGGCATGTGAGGAAGGTGCTAGTACCCTTCGCATTGACTGTTTGGGTCTGGACGGCACAGATAACGTCCAGATTGACATCCTGGCCACCTGCTTTGGATTTCTTGGTCGATGTCTTTGGCCTGGACTTCGCCTTGCTTGCGGCAGCACCGGGCTTGTCCGCCTCCGCTATCTCAGTGCCGGGCTAGGATATGTATGGGATACTTGCTTAATGAATGATTATAAAGTTAAAAGCCACACACTGATACAAATAGAAGTGAAATGCAGGATCTGATAATATATATATATATATATATATATATATAATATA